TCTGAGCTAGAACTTGGATATCAGACCATATAACAAGACCATGGTGCATATATATGTCATTTAGTGTGTGAATATTTAATTTCGCTGCTAATAATTGTTTAATGTTTGTCATCACTCTGGAGATAGAAAAACAAATCAACCATTATATAATTCAAACCAAATAGTGTTGCTAATGCATTTTGTGTTGTTTCAAAAGATGGTTGATTTTGGACTGCTATTACAAACAACTCTCGTTTAATTATTTTCCACCATTACAAGTTGTTAAATGTCTCACCAAGTATTTGAGACTTATTTTGGTGTAAACAACTTGCATTTGATTGATCATCTAACAAATGCAGAATGAACGAAACACCATACTTATGCTTGGCAATCCAGCAAATTGCAACAAACAACATATCAAAAATCTTAGAACTGGAACGGCTGCCAATAACTACATGTAGTCTAACAAAGAAATAATAGCAGCCATCCCATTTGATACCATGCAAATTCTAAACAGATGGATGTAAAGGAATCTACTATAAGTCTTTTCTTCCCTGAATATTTCCCCACAGCTACTCCTAGTGAGTTTATATCGTATACCTGATAAAGGGGTTTTAAAAAAAAAACAATGAGGTGACCTTTTCTAACTAAGATCTTTAACAGCTAGTGGATTATTTGTGGCAGACAAATTATTTGTACACTCAAAACCCTCTCTGAGGCCAGTGCACAAATTTGAAACAAAGTTATTGTCTGGATGTCCAGTTAAATCTTGTTCTAAAAAGTTCACATTAATTGGTGTACTTGGTGTTGATATAGTCACTGTTGAGCAGGGCTCTTAGTAGATGCTGGTTGCTTTTTGCATGCAGAGCAAACATGAGACAAAGGACAAACCGCCCCAGAACAACCTTTATCTCCACTCATTATTACAAATTTCTTGTCCCTGCCGGAAAAGTCTTTATCTACATCTAATGTCGTTAAACTGTAAACTTAGGCTGATATTTGTGTCCCCTGCACATGAGTGAATTGTTTACAAGGGCAATTGTTGAAAGTTAATTCAAGATGGTGCCACAACAAACTACAATGAAAACACATCAGCATCATGTGACCATCTTTTCTTGGGAGGAAGCAATTAACATGAGAAACCATGAAATCTGCATCACAAATACTGTTTAACACTTTG